CCATGTCCGCGGCGACGGTCTTCGCGATGCCCTTGAAATCTAGATCACCGTTGACGAAAATCTGTCACCTACTGCCTCTGGGGGCCCCCCATGCGTCGGGTTGCCAGGGGAAGGGTCAAGGCGCCCATCGGCCCAGATGCAGATGTCGATTTCCTCGTCCGCGCATTTGTCCCAGTCGAAGCAGATCTTCGTGCCGCCCGTGGCGTAGTCGGTCATGTACTGGAACTTCTTTTGGTCGCATCTGCATATATTCTCGATCTGTCTTTGCAGGCATGCCGTTGCTGATTCATCGCAGCCGAAGAAGATCGCGTTGGTTGTCGAGGTGCGTCGGCCTTCTGCTATGAATCCTGCCATGTCTGCTGCTCGGGCTCCAGCATCTCGCGCAGCATTTGGGATCGGCCAAGGTGGCGGGCCAGTCGCAGTTCTGCTTGGCCCGCAAGTTGACGTTGAAGCGCATGCTCGTTCTCCGCCCCCAGCGTCCTTTCGGCTCACTGGAGGCATTGGCCCTCCGAGCCCTTTCTTTGGCTTCGTTGATTACGTGCGCCCGTGTTGTCGTGGCCCGCGCGAGCCCTAGCGCAGCGTCAGTGCCGAGGTCCTTCGCGTACTTCGGGGTCTCGATCCTTGCGCGTTTCAGCTTCGACTGCTTGATGATGTGCTTCCTGGTCTTCTCGCGATCGGTGACCAGCGCTGGCTTGCATGGGGTTATTAACTCGGAGAAAAGGCACGCCTGGGCCAGCGTGTCGACTGCAAGAGATACTTGCTCTTGAGATTGTGCCGGTCGCCCTTTTACCCTCGCGTGGAGGTCGTTGGCGAACTTTTCTTTTCTATGGCCATTGGAGCTGATCTATGCGTGATGTACAGGATGGTGCACGTATATCATGGCTCGCGCAAGCTGCTGCGCGTCCTGGTGCTATCCCATTCCATGGGCATATCGGTTCAGCAAGGTCTTGGCACGCGCGGGCACTCTTGGCGAGAGGTGCGCCAGCATGGGCATGTAGAGGTTGATCGCGGGGTAATCCAGCTGCATGGCTCGCCTGGTTGATATGCTGAGGTCGACGCTGTCGTACAGCTTTTACCAGGCCCGAGTAGAAGGTCCCATGGGGCGAGGTCTTGAACATGGCGCTGGCCTCATCTAGCGCCATCGATACTATGACTGCCCTGAGAGCTGAAGACCCCTGGGTCGCTGCACCCCAATGCCCTGGCTTTTCTGCGCACCAACTTTGAATTCCATTTTATCCCATAGCCTTGCGGGGGGCGATAATGTCCCAATCGGCAGTTCTTCCCCTGCCGTGTCGGGCCCTGCATTGACCCGAAGGCGGTGCCAGATGCGGTGGAATTGGCGAGGCCAACGTAGAGCTCCCTCGCAAGAGTTGGCGACGAAGACTAGGCTGCGCTTGGCGTCGTCCGGCAAGGCCGTGATCTCGGGCGGCTGCCATTGATCAGGTCCACGTGCTGTGGTGGGCCTGAATGCCGGGATAGCCGCCTCCAGGTCGCTCGCGTCGTAGAGGTTTCTCTGTGGTAGTTCTTCTTGTGCAGCTTGCGTTAGTTCTGCCATGGCAGTCTCCAGCTGCTGGCTGTCGCTGTGTCGTTGCCGGCGTGTTTGCCAAACGCCTGCGCGACATCATGTTGCTTCCCTAAAGGCTCCCGTCTCTTTTCTGCGTTCGTGCACTCGGCTTTGCAGGTGTTTCTGGCTGTCTAGCGGGTGCCTCTGGAGCAGAATTGCACCATCGCGGCATCGCTGGTGCAAGGAACTCCATCGGTTTTCTGCCGGGTGCAGCTGGTCGGTCTTGGCTTCCCCCCTTGGCTGTCCTGCAATGTGCTGTGGGGGTGGTACTTCGCGATAAGTAACTGGCTGTCCACGTCGCGCCCTGCGTTGGATTGGGGTTCCCGTGGTCTGCGATAGTGACATGTCAGCTGCATTCGCCCACTTCCCGTGCAGTTTGCCCAATAAGTTGCTCATCCTCGGGTCTTGCTTGCCTGCCCGGGATTTCTGGGCCCACTGTGGGGTCCCTCGGACGTGGACCTCGGCCTCCCCCTTCCTGCGCTGGTCCCAGAGCAGCGGGTCACAGCGCATTGCGCGGTCTCCGTGTAATGAGGTTCCAACAAGCTATCGTCATTGAGATTCGCGTCGCCGCGCTGGGCCATATCATAGTGTTGCATGCGTCCCTCTGTTTCCGCTTGGTGCCCTTTTCACGCCTGATATCCGTCATGTGTATGGGCCTCTTGGCAGGCACCATCGGTTTGCATTGTGTTGTGGTGGATGGCCTAACCCATATCTCAATGATCACCCCCATGTGTTGAGACCATGGTGCTTCGTGCTCCGCTCGCACTGCTCAGAGTAATGACATGAAGCAGTGTGGTATGATGGCGTAATCGGTAATGCGACCCGATCCAGCGCTGCATGTAAAATTGACTTCATGAGGCACGACAATCGCGCCGCCGAGGAGCTCCAACCGTGGCGTCGCCTCGAACTCCTGTGGCGCGCCGTTGAAAACCCCGCGAGCAATCCAAGGAATGCTGCCCAGGCTGCGCGTGATCTGCAGGAGGTGCTTCATGTTGCGGATGTTTTTCCCCGCGAACCCGTCGGGGGCGGTGAGGTACGCAGTGATGAATGCATATGCCGGCCCTTGGGCCTCCACATGGCCATAGACATGTCGTACAATCCGTTGGCGTAAATGCTGTGTCCCTGCGCATTTGGCAGGTGGATGCGTGTATCAATATGTCATGCTACGCGTTGGTCTTCAACACCATGCTATGCAATGTAATGCTATGCCATGCTGCGAAATTCGATTCAGCGAGTGAAGAGATGAGTCATGCGATGGGGGGGATGGGTAAGACGTCAAATGTGAGGCGAGCGCGCCGAGCTTGTCCACATCCCCTCCTCCTCTTCCTCCTCCTCGTCCTCGTCCTCCCCCCCCTCCTCCCCTCCCTTCCCTCCTCCTCTCCCCTCCCCCTCCCCTTCCCTCCTCCTCTCCGCCCCCCATAAATAATTCCTGTCTGTCGTCTCCCGGGACTTGTCGGAAGGGCGGGCCGGGCGCTCCACTTGAGACTTCCTCGCCACTTACGATGGGGAAACTTGAAGCTTGCGTCAGTTGCTCTGATGGGGATGTGGTGGTTTTCAAAAATCGAGCTGTCGCCAGGATGTCGCGCATATTCGTCTGAAGCGTTTGCAGCAGCTGCAAAGATGAGGGAACGCGATGTTCAAAATGGTGTTCCCCCCACGGCTCCGCTCACGGTCGTGTCAAAATCATGCAGAACTGTCAAATACGGAAGGGGGAGTGTTTTCAACATGGGGCTCTCGCCCAGCGCATCGCGCGCTCGTGCTAAGCCCTTGCAAATTAGACGGATGGAAGGGGGGTCTTTTCAAAATGGGGTTATCGCCCAAACGCTGCGCACATTCGCTCCGAAAATGCGACAACTTCACGGATGGAAAAGTGTTCGTTTCTAACTTGTGACTCCCACTTCAGTGCCGCGTATATTCGCTCGTCCGAACAAGGCGCAGCGGCTCCAAAGATGGGGCGCAGTTCCATGTTCAATATTGGGCTCACGCCTGATGCCAATACACATTCGTCTTAGTTTTTGAACCAGATTCAAAGATGGAAGGCGGCTCGCTTTCAGACTGGGGCCCTCGCCTGAGGTCCGCGCGCTTCCTTTCGACAGTTTGCGACAGTTTTTTTTTCAGCATTGGGCCGTCGCTTGAGACTTCTGTAAACTAGCAGACAAAAATCGAACGCGTGCTCAGTTAGGGATGGTTGACGGCGGCTCATTTTCAACATGGGCCCCTGGTCCCTGGTAGCTGACTCCCTCGAATCTCATGTGACCGTCGATATAAATGTGTCCAGTTCCTCCCGCTGAGAAGGTACATGTCGTTTCTTTTTCGAAGCGGGGCTCTCGCCTGACTGGCGGGCCCACGGGAGGCTGGCCTGTCAATGGGGGCGCTTCGGAGACTTGTCGGGACTTGGGAGGTGGGCGGGACAGAAAGGTACACACTCAACCGTATCACAAGGACGCGCGATAAGGATCCGAGGGCCTCGGAGGGCCGTGCCGACACTTCGCGAGCGGGGCGCGGCCAGCGAAAAAATGCCAAGGATGGGCCGAAAAGGGGAAGGATGCAAAGACATCCTTGGGAAATCATTCGTCCTCACTATGCGAGTTGGCTGTATTGCAACCTCGTTTTTCTGGATGCTGCAGACCAGACGAATTGGGGGAAAAACGACTCCTGTCCGCTTAAGCGCTTACCTTCACAGCCTGACCGCACCAGGAAAAAGTAGCGGTTGCGGCGGAACCTGTGGATTACCCTACATGGTCAACGCCAACATCGAAGGCCTCACATCGAGGATAGGCCGGTACAGCCAAAGAGACTGCACTACAACATCGTTGACGCGCATCGTGTTTGTTCTGGTCGTCCTCCTGGTCCTCACCGCCGGCGGCGTGTTCGGCATGGCGGCTCTTGGGGGGCGTCCCGAAGCCAAGCCGTCCTTCCCTGCAGTTCCGGGTCGGCTTCCTGCTGAAGCTGGCCCAGTGGTCCTGGCTCGGGCACAGGCGGATCGCCCCACGACGCACATGCCACTTCCGCCACATGTTCCTTCTCGCCTTATCATTATGATTCGCCTTTTCGCCCCCCCCCTCCTCAGTCGTGCTTTTCCATCCACTATCCCTCCTCCTTCCCTCTTCCCTTCTCTCTCCTTCTTCACCTCCCCGGGACCTCCCCTTCCCCCTCCCCCCCTCCTCCTCCTCCTCCTCCTCCACCTCCTCCTCCCCGTCCTGCTTCTCCTCCTCCTCCTCCTTTTTGTTCCTGCTCCCCGTCCTCCTCCTCCTCCGCCTCCTCGTCGTCGTACTCGTCCTCGTCCTCGCCCTCTTCCTCCTCGTCGTCCTCCTCGTTTTCCCCATCCCCGTCCTCCTCCGCCGATTTTCCTGACGACGACGATGACGACGGCGAGCGCGGTGGCGACGACGAGCAGCGTGGCGAGCTCCCAGGGAAGCTTGGGGCGGCTCGGCACCAGGCGGGAAGCGACGAAACCGCCTTGTTCGGGCGGGGTCTCCTCAGGGCCTCGCCGCGCGCGGCTGGGGGGTGAGAGGGGATGGTGATGATGATGATGATGATGATGATGATGATGATGATGATGATGATGATGATGATAATGATAATGATAATGATGATGATGATGATGATGATGATGATGATGATGATGATGATGATGATGATGGCGGTGATGATGATGATGATAATGCTGGTGATAATGATGATGCTGATGATGATGATGCTGATGATGATGATGATGTTGATAATGATGATGATGATAATGATGATGATAAAGATGATGATGATGATGATGATGATGATGATGATGGTGATGATGATGATGATGATGATGATGATGATGGTGATGATGATGATGATGATGATGACGATGATGATGGTGGTGGTGATGATGATGGGTGTCACTATGGAGATAACGGTAATGCGGGTGGTAATAACGGTGATGGTGATGGTGGCGGTGGTGGTGATGATGACGATGCTGATTTCCATGATAATGGTTTTTGTCCCAGCGGACCGACGGCAATGGTGACGTGACGACAGCAGTGAACTCAATCGAGTACGAGTGACATTCTGCCAGGCCAAAACGACCGTGAGAATACCAGCAGCGCAGGCTGTGGGCGCCAACTCAGCCTGACCACCTGAATTGGGGGGGGAGCGTCAAGGAACAGCAGGCTGCCAGGAGAAAGGGAAGTCGATCAGGCTCGATCGCGCAACAAGCTAAACCAGCCACATAAGTCCGTTTGGAAACCGCTGCGAACGAGAGCGCAGACGGAGGTGCTTGCAAGAACCTCGTGCACGGGCGCGGGCAAAAGCTCCGCTGGCCCCCTCGCGGGGCCACCCGGCTGTAGGCAGAAGTGTGCCGCTCCCTGCGCCAGTGGCAGCTTCAAGTCTCGAATGTTACAGTCCTGCAGTCTGCTTCCTGCTGTGAACTGTTGACGTCCGCGCGAGGGGGGGGAGCCCCGAACCAGCCGGCTACCACGCCTGGATCGCGTTCCTTGAATTCCCGGGGGGGCATGGGACACGTGAAAATGTGCAAGATTCGCGCCCAGGAAACTATAATCCCTAGTCGCTTAAGCAATGTTCGCGTCCCCGAGGCCACAAACTCCTACGCCGTGCTTGCGTCCCCGAAGCAACGAACTCTCCTCAATTACAAAATATTCGCGTCCCCGAAGCCATACACCATCGCAAATCACGCCGTGCTCGCATTGCCCATGCCCAGAGTGATCCAAGGCGCCCGAAGATGGTTCCAAGACGGCCCAATAGGGCCCAAAGAGACCCCAAGAGGCATCCCGAGAGATCCCCAAGAGGCCCAAATCGTAGATTTTACGCAGATGCTTGAAGGATTTTGGCCTTCTCGCATTTTCGGCTATCCGACTCTCCGAGGCGGCTCAAGAAGCTCCCAAGACCGCCCCAAGACAGCCCAAGACGCCTCTAAGAGGGCCCAAGACGGCCCAGGAGGGCTCCAAGATGACCCAAGAAGCGCTTAAGACGGCCCAAGAGGGCCCCAAGACGGCCCCAAGAGGGGCCCAAGCAGGGGACCACGAACCGAACATTCAATATTTGCGCCCCGAGAGGCCGCCAAGAGGCCTCAAGAGGCCCCAAGAGGCGCCCAAGACGCGCACCAGAGGCCTCCAAGAGGCCCAAAAAGATACCCCACGAGGCCCCAAGAGGCCCCCAAGAGGCGCCCAAACCGCCTCCAAGAGGCCCCCGAGAGGCTCCCCACGACACCTCAATACGTATACACGAGGCCTCAGACCCACAATCCAGGCACGGTGGCGGGATGGGCCGGAGGCCACTAGAATCCGCCGCCCCCTGCTTGCAGGGGTGCACGGCGTGCTGGATGTTTCAGGTTTTGGTTTTGGTTCTTTTTCTAAAAGAACTCCCCAGTGGGCTCCGGCCCGTCCCGCCGGGGTCCCGGGAGGAAGCCGAAAGGACCTCAATCCGGAAAACAATCCTCCAAAAAACGGCCGTTTCGCTCGGGACATCCTCAAAAAATCGCGAAGATGGCCCAAGATGGCCTCCAAGTCCGCCCGAGATGGTCCAAGACGGCCTCCAAAACGGCCCAAGAGAGTCCAAGACGGCCCAAGACGGCCCAAGAGGCCCCCCAGAGGCCTCCCAGACGGCCCAAGAGGCCTCCAAGAGGTCCTCCAGGAGAGTCCGAAGAGGCCAAAATCATTGATTTTTCCTTGGTTTTTGAAGGATTCTGGCATTTGCGCCTTTTCGGCTCTCCGACGGCTCGAGACGGCCCAAGAAGCCCCCAAGATCGCCCAAGAGGCCCCCAAGAGAGCCCCATGATGGCCCAAGTGGCCTCCAAGATGGCCCCTAGAGGGCCCCAAGAGGGCCCAAGAGGCCTCCAACACGCCCAAGATGGCCTCCCAGACGCCCAAGATGGCCTCCAAGACGGCCCTGGAGCATTCCAAGCGGGCCCCAAGTCGGCCCATAGAGGCCCCCCAAACGGCTTCCGACGGCTTCAGACGTGCCAGGAACCCACCAAGATGGCCGAAGTTGGCTCGAAGCTGGCCCGAGACGGCCCAAAAAGCCCCAAAGATCGCCCAAAGCTTGCCCAAGAGGCCTCCAAGACGGCCAAGATGACCTTCAAGATGCCCACGTGTTCCCCGAAGGCTTTCCAAACCGATTCGGGGAACACGTGGTCCGATAGCTTGGCAGGTCTGGCCTCAACGTTCGGCCACATAGGCGCTTCCAAAAAGGCAGGGGGCGGCGGTGATTCGCCGTAGGCGTCTTCGATCCGCCGCCCCCTGTCGATTCATCACAGGGGTGCCTGGCGTGCCAGACTATTACGGTTTTGATTTTGGTACTTTCTCCAAAAGAATCGAAGATGCCTACGGCGAATCACCGCCGCCCCCTGCCTTTGTGGAAGCGCCTGTGTGGCCGAACGTTGAGGTCAGACTTGCCAAGCCATCGGACCATGTGTTCCCCGAATCGGTTTGGAAAGCGTTCGGGGAGCACGTGGGCATCTTGAAGGTCATCTTGGCCGTCTTGGAGGCCTCTTGGGCGATCTTTCGGCGATCTTTGGGGGCTCTTGGGCCGTCTCGGGCCGTCGGAAGGCCGAAAAGAAGGAAATGTCAAATCCATCGAAAACTTTAGGAAAACCAAGGTTTTGGGCCTTTTCTGGCCTTCCTGGAGGCCCTCTTGGGGTCCTCTTGGGCCGTCTTGGACCAGCTTCGAGCCAACTTTGGCCATCTTGGTGGGTTCCTGGCACGTCTGACGCAGTCGGGAGCCGTCTTGGGGGCCTTTCTGGGCCAACGGGGGACCCTCTTGGGGCGCTTCGGGGCCGTCTTGGCGGCCATATTGGGCGTCTGGGGGCCTCTTGGGCGATCTTGGGGGCCTCTTGGGCCGTCGGAATGCCGATAAGAAGCAAATGCCAAAATCCTTCAAAAACCAAAGGAAAATCAATGATTTTGGCCTCTTCGGGCCCTCCTGGAGGACCTCTCGACGGGTTCTTGGGCTGTCCTTGAGGCCTCTTAGGGGCCTCTTGGGCCGCCTTGGGCCATCTTGAGGCTATCTTAGGCCATCTTGGGTACATCTTGGGCCGTCTTGGAGGCATCTTAAAGCCATCTTAGCCGTCTTGGAGGCCATCCTGGCCGTCTTGGAGGCATCTTGGAGGCCATCTTGGAGCCGTCTTGGGCAAGAAATTGGGGAATTGAGGTCCTTGGCAATCCTTCCGGGACCCCGGTGGGACGGGCCGGAGCCCCAGGGGGAGTTCTTTTGGAAAAAGAACCAAAACCAAAACCGTAATAGTCTGGCACGCCAGGCACCCCTGCGATGAATCGACAGGGGGCGGCGGACTCTCCCTGGGGCTCCGGCGCGTCCCGCAGGGGTCCGGGAGGATTGCAAAGGACCTCAATTCCCACATTTCCTGCCCAAGACGGCTCCAAGATGGACTCCAAGATGCCTCCAAGACGGCCAGGATGGCCTCCAAGACGGCTAAGATGGCTTTAAGATGCCTCCAAGACGGCCCAAGATGGACCCAAGACGGCCTAAGATAGCCTCAAGATGGCCCAAGGCGGTCCAAGAGGCCCCCAAGAGGCCTCAGAGACAGCCCAAGAGCCCGTCGAGAGGTCCTCCAGGAGGGCCCGAAGAGGCCAAAATCATTGATTTTCCTTTGGTTTTTAAAGGATTTTGGTATTTTCGCCTGTTCGGCCTTCAGACGGCTCAAGACGGCCCAAGAGGCCCCCAAGATCGCCCAAGAGGCCCCCAAGAGGGCCCCATGACGGCCCAAGTGGCCTCCAAGATGGCCCCAAGAGGGCACCAAGACGGCCCAAGAGGCCTCCAACACGCCCAAGATGGCCTCCAAGACGCCCAAGATGGCCGCCAAGACGGCCCCGAAGCGCCCCAAGAGGGTCCCCCGTTGGCCCAGAAAGGCCCCCAAGACGGCTCCCGACGGCGTCAGATGTGCCAGGAACCCACCAAGATGGCCGAAGCTGGCTCGAAGCTGGCCCAAGACGGCCCAAGAGGCCCCCAAGAGGGCCTCCAGGAAGGCCAGAAAAGGCCCAAAACCTTGGTTTTCCTACAGTTTTCGATGGATTTGACATTTCCTTCTTTTCGGCCTTCCGACGGCCCGAGACGGCCCAAGAGCCCCCAAAGATCGCCGAAAGATCGCCCAAGAGGCCTCCAAGACGGCCAAGATGACCTTCAAGATGCCCACGTGCTCCCCGAAGGCTTTCCAAACCGATTCGGGGAACACATGGTCCGATGGCTTGGCAGGTCTGGCCTCAACGTTCGGCCACATCGGCGCTTCCCAAAAGGCAGGGGGCGGCGGTGATTCGCCGTAGGCGTCTTCGATCCGCCGCCCCCTGTCGATTCATCGCAGGGGTGCCTGGCGTGCTGGACCCTCTCGGTTTTGGTTTTGGTTCTTTTTCCAAAAGAACTCTCCCAGTGGGTTTCGGCCCGTCCCGCTGGGGTACCGGGAGGATTGCCTAGGTGCTCAAACTCCACGAAACATCCTCCCTGAAACGGCCGTTTCGCTCAGGACATCCTCAACAAATCGC